ACGGGCTGGGGATTTAGCTCAGCGGCAAAGCGCCTGCCTGGCAAGTGCAAGGTCCTGAGTTCGGTTCCCAGTAACCAAAAAAAAAAAAAAAGAAATTAATGACCACCAAACCAGTACTCCTAAAAACTCTGAAGGATATTGTAGAAAGAGATAGTGAAGCTAACAACAGTGAACATGTTAGGTAGTGCAAGCAGTTAAGTAGAAGGGAAAGTATGGAATCAGCAACAGGAAACAAGGCAGTGACAAGCATAAGTCAGTACCTGTTAGTAATGTACTAATGGGAATGGTCTCAATCCCCAGTTGAAAGATTGGCAGAAAGGATGAAGAAGCAAAATACAACAGCATGCTGCTGCCTACAAGAAACATTTAATTCAAAAGGAAACCCAGGGACTAAAAACCAAAGGATGGAGAAGCAGTATACCATGCAACAGAACCTAAAAAAAAATGTAGTTATCCTGTATTCAGACAATGTGGACTTCAAACCAAAACTGATTGAAAGAGACAAAGTCACAAGTACTGGTTAAGGGAATGATCCCTTAACTAGAAGAGAGAAAGAATCCCTTAGCTAGAAGAGAGAAAGAATCCCTTAGCTAGAAGAGAAGAGAGAAAGAATCCCTTAGCTAGAAGAGAGAAAAAATTATTAATGTATTTGCACTAAATGATGCACCCAGCTTCATAAGACAAGTACTTCTGAAAATAAAAGGCCAAATAATTATAGAGGGGGACTTTATCACCTATCAAAAATACATCAACTAGACAAAAAGTCTGAGTTGAATAAAACCTTCAAACAAATGGACTGAGTGAGAATGTCCCACTTAGCAACAAAGTACACATTTTTTTCTTGGTAGCACCTGGAATTTTCTCCAAAATAGACCATATACTAGCTAATGAAGCAAGCTCAAGTAAATATAAAGCAATTGAAATTATACCATACATATTTTCAGATCAAAGTGCAATGAAACTAAAAGTCAAGTACGAAAAGACACAGAAGTTATGCAAATGTGTAGGAACTAAATATCCTTTTTTTTTTAATACTGGGAATCAAACTCAGGACCTTGTGCTTGCCAGACAGGCTCTGTGCCGCTGAGCTGTCTCCCCAGCCTTTAAATATCCTCTTAAGGTGTTACAGAGAAATCAAGAAATAAGACAGTTTCTAGAACTAAACAGTAATGCCAGTGTGACATACCACAACTTACGTGGCACAGTGAAAGCAATCCTAAGAGGAAGTTTACAGGTGTGAATGCCCACATCACAAGAAAAAGTAAAGCCTAATAACTAATGATGCACTGCTAGGTCCTAGAAAAACAAGAACAGTCCAAACCCAAAGCTAATATAGGAAGGAAACCAGAAAGATGAGAGCAGAAATCAATAAAATTGAGACTAAATACAAAGGATGAATCAGATTTGGTTCTTTGAAAGAATGAACATAGACAAACTCTTAGGCACAACAACAAAGGTTCCCAAATCGGTGCAATTAGAAATGAAAAAAGTGAAATTACAATAGATACTACCAAAATAAAAAACATAATTGAACCCTTCTCTACCCTGTATGCCAATAAATTGGAAAATTTAGAAGGAATGGTTAGATGTATAGATACATATGAATTACCAAGCTGAGCTGAGATTTAAAAATCCTCAATAATCCAACAACAGACAATAAAATTGAACTAGTAATGAAAAACCTGCCAACGAAGAAAAGTCCAGCTCCAGATGGATTCATTGCTGAATTCTAAAAAGCTTCAGGGAATATCTAAAACCAATACTTCTCAAGCTCTTTAACAAAATTGAAAGGGAAGGCATACATCCAGTCATTCCTGGAAGCTGCTATTACTGTGAGTCCCAAACCAGACAAGAATCCAAAAACTTATAAACCAATCTCGG